GTGAAAAATTTAGGGGGGTCTGAATACTTTCCGTACCCACTGTATATATATATATATATATATATATATATATATACACACACTTTAAGAAATACTTTAAAAAATAAAGTAATATTAAATTAATAAAGCAACAATATTAATAATACAAATAAAAATTAAAATTTCTATTTTAAAAATAACATTATTAATAACTATTAATATTGTGTATATATATATATAAAACTTTAATAAGACAAATAAAATTATATTTAAAATAATATTAAATGGATTAATAAATCAACAAAATATTAATACAAATTAAAATAGTAAAAGTAATAAATATTATTTTAAAGACATTTGTCAGACAGTTTGTACAGCAACTTACAAAAAAGTCGTTAGTAAACATTAAATTCTAATGATTACACATAATATGTAAGTTAGAAACTAAAGATCACAAGATGTGACGATTGTTTTTCAAAGTGGTCATGTTTTTTGGTTTTCTCTTCAGTTATGACACAGACCTGCAGTGCCCTTTGCCGCCGTCTCGTATGTATCTGCAACCTGACGAGCTAGAAGAGGAGGAGGACGAGGTGGAGCTGGAGCGCGGACCTACGCCGCCTGTACGGGGAGCAGCTTCCTCACCTGCCGCCGTATCCTACAGTCACCAGTCCACCGCGACCCTCACCCCGTCCCCTCAGGAGGAGATGCAGCCCATGCTGCAGGATAACCCTGACCTACACGAGCGCAGGTACGCCAGCTGCAGCAGCTTAACAATGCTTTTCTTTTTGAACCATTTACAGTTTCATGCATTTGACGTCTGTCGTCCTCTATTAGGCGACTCTTGGTGAGCCCACCCCCTCCACCACGCCCCCTCTCCCCTCCACACACATACGGCTACATCTCCAGCCCCCTGGGTCTGGACACGGACGGCCTGGAGGAAGAAGAGGACGAGGAAGAGGGTGACGAGATGGATGCGGAGGTGGCTCGAGTCCACCAGCTCCACACCCACCCTCACCAGCAGCACTTGCCCCAGCAGAGGGCTCTCCTGCGGGGCCTGGAACAGACCCCGGCCTCCAGCACCTGTGACCTGGAGAGCTCCGTCACCGGGTCTATGATCAACGGCTGGGGCTCGGCTTCAGAGGAAGACAACGCCTCGTCGGGTCGCTCCAGCGCCGTCAGCTCATCGGACGGATCTTTCTTTACCGATGCTGATTTCGCCCAGGCCGTGGCAGCTGCGGCCGAATATGCTGGTTTACGCGTGGCAAAGCATCCTGGGAAAGGCCACCATCAGCTTCCAGTGTCTGGAGGTACTGGAAAGTGTATATGCTTTCTTAATAAACGTTCCTAATGTTATTGTGCATAATTAAAATAGGTCTAATAATATAATCCTATAATCCATTTTTATGGACAAACTCGAGCCCAGCCTACATTATTTTCCATAAAATATTCTGTTTTACTTAGAAATATGCCAAATTGTGGAAGATATGGAGGTGCCCCACCAAAAACTCCTAATATTTGCTCATGAATTTAAATGAAATAATGGTTTTAAATGGAGACACTAACTGTAATACTATACATCCTACAGCGACTACATTAATTTGTAGTCAATTCTGCGGCCTTTAATAGAGCTAAACTAAGCAAACCCTCTGTCCTCTAATTTGCCAGCAGCACGGAAATACCAAAACCTCCCTGCGGGACACCGTCCATGCAGCCCAGTGTCCACAGACAGTAACGTTAGCGCAGCCCCGGGTCAGAGGAGGCCCCTAAAGAGGCAAAAACAACATCCAGCTGCTCAGACAGGCTACCAGCGTCGAGAGGCCTACACAGAGGGTACGTCCACACACAATTCTGCTTTCAGTCATGAATCATGAATACTAAATACTTATCTACTTTTTTTTTTTCTTTCATTTTTAAGTGAAGAAAATATATAGTAAAAAATTTAAAATACTACAAAAACATAAATTCAAAATAAAACTAATTACAATATATATATATTTTTAATCATTTGTATTCATTATTATTAATAATAATAATAACAATTTATAAATAAAATACATTTAAAAGTAAATTAAATAATTTCATAATATTTTATGGAAAATTTTAATGTTACCAACATATTGAATATTATATTTGTAATAATTTGTTAATTTATTATTATTAATAATAATAATAATATTAATACCAACAATTTATAAAATAAAATACATTTAAAAGTAAATTAAATAATGTATATTATTTTATGAAAAATTTAAAATTGTAAAATTTTATGAAATTCAAACTAAACATTAAAATGTTACCAAAATATTAAATATTATAATTTATAAAAAAATATATATATATAGAAAATTTAATTTAACAATTTATAATGATTTATTAAAATAAAAACAATTATAAATATTATAATTGACATTATGTTACGCTATTTTTAAGAAAATAATAATAATAGTTTTTTTAATCATTAAAATGATTACAAAGTTGTAATATACATTACACTAAATACATTTTTTTTTTTCAAATATTATGAATAATATTATTTTGGTAACATTATATTTTTTTGTTATTTTTTTTAATTTAATATTATAATCTAATTTATATATATGATTTTTTTTGCTTATGACTATGCTATGAACATAATTCAGTGCGTAAACAGCTGCTCTGAATGATTTTAGACTAGTTCAAACCGATAACTTGTGTGACACTGATGTCTTTTTGACCAGTTCATTACAACGATTCATTTTGTTCACACATCAACATATTGTTCACACATCCCTTGTGATCCATTCAAAATGGTGGTCATACATTCATATACACGTTGATTTAACCTAAAATGTTGAAGTTGATTTAAAAAGTCCATGGATGCTATGCATCAACTACCCACACACAAGTATAAGACAACAAGCATCTTCCAAACATTTAATCTGCACAGAACAGGATCATAAAGAGCGAGGGAGCGGCGGCGTCCACCTACAGTGTGTCATAAGTGACCACTCTGCTTCAGTCTCTAATGAAATAGCAGCAGGTGCAAAAGCTTCACTGAAGAGCTCTCTCACTGAAGGCTTCAGAAAGGTCACGTTATCGGCGTGTGATGCGTGTGGAACTGCAAAAGGAAGTGCTCACAAACACATCCAAACTTTCTGCTCGCATTTGTGAGAGTGTGTATTTGTGCACACGGTCTCATCTGCTGCGTCTCATCACTGAGTCAGTTGGCCTTGTGTGTTGACACTAAGATTTAATATCAGACACACACAGGCCTTGGTCGACTCTATCAGATCAACTAGCCCCTCTCATCTGTCCTTCACTGTAATCTCTTCCTCCCCCTCTTCTAATCTCCTCCGCTCCCTCTCTCTCTCGTCTTTGTTCGCTGTTGGCCGCTGAAGAGACCCAGATTGATCAGTCTGTGTCGGCTCAAGTTTCTGTTGAATGTGTGATTTGTTTTGATAGGCCTTCATCGAGTTGCGCTGTGTGGGAGGGTTAAATACAGCGTCTCGCACGGAAAAGAAGGTTGTCGTTTGAATGCGCTTCACACAAACACACTCAAAACTAAATGATCTGAAACACAGATTGCCTACCAACCCCCCCAAATACCAGGCGTCAAACACACACTCCCCCCGCCTCTGTTCATTTTGCTCTTGTTTGCTCAGTGCTTTGGGTGACACCAGGCTTATTATCTCGTCCTCCTCCAACTCCTCTCCAGAAGGCCCTGTTAACCTTTCATCTGCCTCCACTTCTGTCTGGAGAGAAAAGAGCCAGTCTTTTCCAGACGTTCTTCTCTCTCTTTGTCTTAGTTTCCTCCTTTTGCAAGTTTCTATTAGAAGTTTGTTTTCAGATTTCAAGAACAGTTTTCTGCAGGACTGCTGAAGGATATCTTTGGTTATCAAACGTTTTGAAGCAAATGTGAGTTAGAAAATTTGTAAAGCAGCTGAATAATATTTGCAAGTTGTAAAAGTAGCCCAATTCTGCGGGAAAACCAAATTCTGTTGGCAACGCTGGTAGGTCGACACCAGTTCTGTTTCTTTTCACTGCAGCCAGGCAAAATAAAACTTTAGAAATAGGTGTTATGTCCGTGTTTGAATAGCATATGTTAAGCAATTACTAGTAATGATAAAAATATATTAATATTCATAAATTAAATCTTACAGTAAATTAGAGAATTTATAATAATTTGTGAAAAAATAATAAAAAACTAAATGTTAAAATGATGCCAAATGTAATAAAAACAATTAAAAGTAAATTAAATAATTAATGATTTATATATATATATATAAAACAATGTTAAAGTGATAAGAAATAATAAAAAAAGTAAAATTGAATGGCATGTGTAAAGCAGTTTGAGTTGATTTATAATATCATTTCAACCAATTTTATAAATAGCTGATGCATTTGCAAAGGCATAAGCTACTGTTCAAAAGTCTGGGGTTAGGAAGGTTTTTTTAAATAACTGTTCTGCTCACTATGGCTGCATTTATTTGATCAAAATACAGCAAAAACTGCAATATTGTGTAATAGCATTCAAGTTTAAAATATCTATTTCCAAATGTAATTTAATCTAATTTACATTTAATCTGTCAATTTTCAGATTAAAGTGTAATATATTCCTGTGATGCAAAGCTGAATTTTCAGCCTCATTACTCCAGTCTTCAGTGTCACATGATCCTTCAGAAATCATTCTAATATGCTGATTTGCTGAAGGAATTTTTCATATTATTATCAATGTTGAAAACAGTTGTGAGGCTTAATATTTTTGTGAAAATGTATGCATTTTGTTCAGGATTCTTTGACGAATAGAAAGTTCAAAAGAGCATAATTTTGTAACGCAACTCTTGAATTGTAATTGGATTGTAAATGTATTTACTTCCACTTTTAATCAATTCAATGTATTCTTGTTGAGCAAAAGTATTCATATCTTTAAAAAAAAAAAATCTTACCGAGACCAAACTTTTGAGTGCAAAAAAGCACTCATAAGAACTTAAACATCAATCATTCATACCACATCTAAGCAAGAAAGGACGTGTTTTACACTACTAGTAATTTCACGACAGTGCAGGCACTACTCACACAAATAAGAACAGCAGTGCTAGCTGAAAAAAAAAAATCTTACCGAGACCAAACTTTTGAGTGCAAAAAAGCACTCATAAGAACTTAAACATCAATCATTCATACCACATCTAAGCAAGAAAGGACGTGTTTTACACTACTAGTAATTTCACGGCAGTGCAGGCACTACTCACACAAATAAGAACAGCAGTGCTAGCTGTTGTATAAAGCAGAGCGAGAGCCCTCCCTCCTTCTTCCACCCCTCTCGTAAATCTAACAGCTCTCTTCTGCTCCTGTGAAATGCGGCCCGTCTCTCTCATCCTGGCATCGATCCGCCACCTGACTACTGGAAGACACCACAGGGCTTATAAAAACCATCCACATCCACCATCCACTGACCCTTCTCGTATTTTGCTGAGTGTCAGAGCAGTGATGAAGCAGTGCTAAGCTCTCCCCGACAAAACGAGACACGCGCTCGGTGAAGACGTCAGGTGTGCTCTGACCTTGAACGGGGAAAAATGTAGACGCAGCACCCGAGCACCATTTTAGCACTTAGTCTTAGTGACGCAATGTTTGCGTAATACGGGTGTATTTGTGACTCTGGCGCCTATTGGGATGTCATTTTATATATGCATGTTGATTTGAAATTGAATCAGGTTTCAATGTCTCTGGCACAAGTTTACGAGATCCGTCACGCACAGAGCTCGGACGACTTTTTTAGCTGATGCTAAAAAGAACGAGAACGACAACCCTGAATAATTGGCACGGGAAGCGTGGAGACATCCAGTGACAGTGATGAACCGTCATTCACAGTTTCTCGACTGGCTAGCGGCGCCGCGGTGGGAAAGAGCTCCAGCGTGCAGCTGTTTGGAGGGTTGCGATGCAACAGCACAGCTGTGTTTCCATGGCACCTTCCGGGTGCCAGACAAATGAGTTCTGGTGTCAATTAGCTGATCGTCTGCTTCTGAAGGACACTAGCATGTGTGAATATCCACCTTATTTTGCAACGCGGAAGTAAGCTAGTTTCTGTAAATGTACGAGACTTCTCATTCATTAGCCGCTAACTAACTAAAACTAAAACAAAGTGTGGTAAATCTGTGCTACAAACCAATGCGAATAGTATTACGACAATGCATTAACCCTTCCGTGTCAGTAAAAAAAAAAGCCACATCGCGGTGTCAAAACAATTGTATATTTTTCTTGCTTTCACTAACTTTTTTTTAACCAACGGTCCTGATCATAACTACCAAAAATTAATTTATTTTCAGGATTTTAACCCTTAAAATGTCACCTTTTGATGCATTATATTTGTGTCCGATTACAAACACAAATTTCTCAGTACACACATACAAACCCCACTCTGATATCCATACCAATAAACCTACATGATTATAATGACAGAAGTTCTATTCAATTGTTTTTTTTCCCCAGCTGAAGTAGAAAACAGGAAAAAAAGTTGTGCCAATAGTAAATATTTTTGAAGCCTTCTCAAGAGAATGAAAGCCTTACCTAAGAATGCATAATTTTATGCATAAATGGCACTGGGATTAAATTAAAAATTGCCATTTTTATGGATTTTAATATGGACATATTTTATAGTATAGCCCTTAATTCAACACTTTTTTATATTTTAAAAACATTTATTGTATTTATTGTAAAATATTTATTTTTTTGTAGGATATATATATATTTTAATTTAACTATTAAATTAAGAAAGGAAAATTCCAATAAAAATACACATTTCTAGCAAAATGTATGCTGTTTGCATTAACAAAAAAAAAGTCTCTGGAAGGGGATATCTCTTCACATTCAAGTTACAAATTGTCACACCTGTCTTGTAAAAAAAAAATAAGGTGGATGGCAAGCTATAATGTCAAACAGATCAAATATTCACACAAAATAAATACTTTTCATTTTGTTTTCTCACAGATCTCCCCCCTCCTCCGATTCCTCCTCCGGCTATGCTGAAGTCTCCAACACACCCGGCCAAAACCATCCCGGAGGGCCCACGGGGGGCCATGTCGCCCAGATCCAGTTCTGCTGATGGCAAGGACAAGCGGACGGGTTCGGGCGGACCCAGACCCCGGGATGGCTCGGACACCCGGACCAGCTCTTCAGAACGGCGGGAGGGCCAGGATGTACAGAAGGGTCAGAGGACGGGGAAAAGCAGCAAACAAGATGCCGGTGCAAGCCATAAGAGCCGCCAGCACCCAGGTACTGCGCTACAGTCCTGTTTTCTGATGTTAAATACTATAGTAAATAATGCTCAAGTCACTTACCTGTCATCTTCATGTCTCTTTCAGGATCAGAGGACATCCTACCTTACAGTCGCCCATCTTTCCCAGCCGTCCACAATCCTCGTGGAGAAAGAGACCCCAGCTCCTCCAGTTCACTGTCCTCTCGAGGGTCCGGTGGACGACGGAGAGGTGAAGGGGCTCCGGGGGCCCGCAGAAACCCTGCAGATGTTGGGCTAAACACCATAGGAGCCTTCCAGACAGGAGGGGAGGAGCTTGAGGTGCGTCCTCACTTCTAAGATACCCGGAAATGGAAGGAATACATGATTCTGATTGGTCAATTGCAATCTTTGGTCAACCATATTTATATATTGGACAAGATACAAACCAGAGCACCTGTGACTAGTGTTGTTAATGTTAATTTAAACTATTATTATTATTTGGTGATTTAAATAAATCTGAAACATAAATATTATACGAAAAACTTATTTTAAACTATCTTATTTTAGTTTGTTGCCAAAGCAACTATTTCTGCTCAAGTAATTAAATGACAAAAAATGTAACTGAAATAAACATTAACAAAAAAAATCGAATTAGATGGAAGCACTTTAATTGAAATGAGAAATGTTGCTTTTGCAACTTACTGAAAAAAAAAAAATTAAGTTAGTCAAAATTAAAACTGGAAATGTTTGACAAAAAAATTTAAACTGAAATGAAAAAGATACATTTAAATATAACAAAAAAGAACTGACAATTCTAAAACATTACAAAAGCACATCAAATTACAAAAACTGAAAAAAAGGAAAAATGGATATATAAAGATAAAAGCAAATTCAAAACGAATACTATAATAGTATAGAAATAACAAGTAAAATAACAATACTGTGCTCTTTGGATGGAAAATATTTATGGTTTCCTTGTATGATGTTTGCTATAATTCTTCAATCTTTTCTTTTCAGATGATGGAGAGCTGAAGATATTAAAAAAATGGCTGTCTAAAGTTCCTCAGCAACCAACTTCAGCGCAGTTTGACCATCTCGGCGGTATCTTTTACTGAAAACTACCGACCCAGAGTCACGTTTGGAAAACTGACCAACCATTCTTCATTTATTTACCTTAATTTTCAATGTGCATTTAAAGAAGAAAAAAGACAGAAGAAAACAAAAAAACGAAGGGTGCATTTGAGAGGGGCTAAAGCGGTTTTGTTTTGATTCTTCAGCGCAGTTTGACCATCTCGGCGGTATCTTTTACTGAAAACTACCGACCCAGAGTCACGTTTGGAAAACTGACCAACCATTCTTCATTTATTTACCTTAATTTTCAATGTGCATTTAAAGAAGAAAAAAGACAGAAGAAAACAAAAAAACAAAAAAACGAAGGGTGCATTTGAGAGGGGCTAAAGCGGTTTTGTTTTGATTCCAATGCAATATGATGCGTCCGTTAGCTCCTGAAAACGATTATGGCTTTGTTCACCTTGGCGAGAAGGTTGTCAGTCAGCGGATACTGTAATGAAACTCCAGGCACAAAGGGACTGGCTGACATGTACATACACGTGTATACATATCTAACTGTCTTTTATAATCCATTGTGGTACATTAAATTTGTCTTCCTTGGCTTATTTGAATAATTTTAAAATTACGCCAGTTAATATAATTTTTTTTATAGCCGCCATCCTGGTTGTAAATTGTCATAGTGTTTAAACTGCCCCAGGAAAAGTGCCACATTTTGAGAGTTATTGTTTGTTCGTTTTTGTTTTTTGTAATGCACTGTTATTCTTTTTTTTGTCATTGTCGATGTTTGTTGTTCTATGTTTGACTTTGGTTTTAAAAGCACAATCACTAAACTTTATGTTGAACCATGTTATTGATTAACCTTTTTGTCTTACGCGAGGGGAGCGCGGATGGTACGACAAAAGGCCTTGTTAAACCTGTTGATGTAGGGTTATGAGAAAAGAAAAAAGAATAAGCTGTTTACAAACGAGTGAATGAATGGAAACGAATCCCTGCATCCTTACCTTCGGTGTCTTTTCCAGATTCTCATTCCAGCTCCAGGCATCCTGCAAAAATGAAATATACAGGAATTAATGCAGGGATGTTGTGTTTACGAAAGTATTGCTCCACCTGTGCACTTTCGTTATTAAAAAAGAAAACATTTTTCGATTCACATATGCACTTAACAGGAAGTGGGTGTCGGTTTGAGAATCTGGGGTGTTCGTGATTGGCTGGCCGAGGACCCAGCTCTCATGGGTTGGCTGTGTTGGTCACAGTTGATCTAAAAGAGGTGAGGATGTGAGTGTTAATTCATTTGACATCTGCAAGCATTTGTTTCTTAAAACAAAAAAGCATATAAAAAATGAAGAAAAAAAAATTAAATCAAAATACTGAAACTGACCGGCTTGTTTTGTGATTAATTCACTATGATACATTTTGTGACACTTGAACCCATCACCTAGGACACAAACCTGACCCTAAAAAAAACCCCACCATAACACATGGATAACTGTACCTCAAGAATGTCACTTGTGGTTGGTTCTCTTTAAAGATATAAATGATAAAAAATAAAATCCCATTAGAGCATTGTGTATTGTACTATGTATTGGACACTGCACCTATATATTGAAATGTGCAATCCATTAGAGCCTTCTTGCCTTTTTATATAGTGCCTAAAATGCCAAATAGTAATTTAATTAGGTTTGTTTGAAGTACTGATGGTAAATAGAAGTATATGACTATGCTAAGTAGGGCTGTCAAAATGGCTGAAAAACTAAATTCGAATTTTGAACTTAAATATGATCAAAATTCGAATTATATTCTAATTTAAAATGCATAATTTCAGTTATGGTGAAGAATAGCCTTTGGCTTCTCTTCTGAGGCCACAAGAGGGTGCATCAAGCAAAATATTACTAAGGCACGTTTATTCAAAGCATAAGATAACGACTATCTGTGAAAAAAAGTGCATGATGTTTAAAATAATGTATATAAACCAATTACAATTAAGTTGCTTCAACAACTATAAACAAAACAGCATCATGTATGTATGCATAGTTTAATACAAAGGGCGGAAAGCCAATCACACAGAGTACATTTTTCATTTAAAAACATGAGATGCAGAGGGATGGGGAAAAAACCCCGCCATAAAGTCTCAATATGTTTTGTTTTTTTTCAAAGTTAAACTTGCATTAATTTTACATGGCTTTCTAAACATGCGGCTCCTTTGTGCGAGATACGAGTGCAACGGTGATAGATGTCCCTCTAGAAAATGCGCAAAATATGTGTTCTGTGTGAACGGCTTGGTTTCAGTTTTGATGTAAACAAGATCTTCTCCGCATTGATGTTCTCTTTTTCCGCAATATTTTTAATAAACAACGCCGCAGCGCCGCACCCAGTGGCTTCAACTGGATAGGCTAACAAAAACATTATAATGCAATGACACTTACATCGCGAGATACGAGTGCAACGGTGATAGATGTCCCTCTAGAAAATGCGCAAAATATGTGTTCTGTGTGAACGGCTTGGTTTCAGTTTTGATGTAAACAAGATCTTCTCCGCATTGATGTTCTCTTTTTCCGCAATATTTTTAATAAACAACGCCGCAGCGCCACACCCAGTGGCTTCAACTGGATAGGTTAACAAAAACATTATAATGCAATGACACTTACTTCATCATCGCATCTCGTGCGCCGCTGATAAGGCTGCCTCCTTAACGCACACCTAAAATTCAAATGCAACATTTTTGCATTCGAATGTGGATTTTTATTTTAAATTTGATGAATATTCGATACCAAACTAATTACCAAAATACACTATGCACTCACTTATTCTTAGATCCCAGAAAAATGAAAACAATTTAAAGTAGTTTTATCAGGATTTAAATATTAGGTTACTACTATAAATTTAATTTTTTTTTTAAATGCAAATATCAGACAATAGCAGTGTTTTTTAGCTAGTTTTGAGACTGGGGTTTTTAAACTGGAGATCAAGTAAAAAGTAGCTAATATGTCCTTAAAAATCAAACGTTTTCACTATTGCAATACATTTATTATTTTTTACTTTTTCATTATGCAACACAGCACAACACAGCCTACTTGCCTTCATCAGTGAATAAATTTCATAGGGCCGAAAACATGCAAAAATATTAACAACTAATAGTCAAATATTGACTAAGAAAATTAACAATGCAGAAACCGCATATGTGTGATTTACCACCCAAGAACAAACACTTAATATTAGCCATAAAATATAAAAATATTATACTAGCCATAAAACACTATATAATTTGTTGTAGCCATATTAGACTAATTTGTGAAAAAAATACCGTACACAGTTGATATGAGAAGCATTTTCTCTAACTCAACTAAATATTGCTATGTGCCTATTTATTTTACTATTCTAACTATACAAAACCACACATGGTTAGATTAATTTTAGTATTTGCATTGAGCATTGTTCTCACTGAACAGAGGCCCTGTGTTCCCTATTTTGTTACATCCCATCTATTTTTTGAAACGTATGAATAACGGTCCCTTAATAAATGTGTCTGATCAGAACCAAAAACCAGCCTCATTATATCAGGCCTATTAGTCATGTAGGCAACCCGCCGACAAGTCGATTTTGTGAAGGAATAGTTTGCAGCGCAACCTTTATAGAGAGCCACTGCACAATGACAACTATATACACTCCATTTGAAAATCCACAGACAAATATTGGGACATACAGAAAGTAAAATGTCAAACGCATGCCTTCTCCTGTGCATCTGCCAGGCGTCTTGGTTGCTGTCAGAAAACGAGAGCAGTTCCCCACAGGTGTTCCCCTATTAAACACCTTTTAAACGAGAACAAATCTGGAGCAACCGAGAGCTTCCCCTCTGGCTCGATCCATCATTTTAATGAGCTAAGGTGTGTATGCTGCGCACAATGAGGCACAGGTGATTAAAGCTAGTACACACACAGACACTGACTGTGCTGCTAATATTATGAATCTATGTAGCCTAGAAATGACTGACTGTACAATGCGGTCATTATTATAAGACGACTTTCAGTACCTGACGACTCTGATAGCAACGAGGGACTCGGAATTGACCCAAACACACAGCCGTTAGCTTCACCAAACTCAGGCTGAGAAAGAAAATGGCTCATTTATTTGAAAACCGCATGTGCTTGACTAGAAAATGCAAGCTTTTTGTTTTGAGAACATAAATGGAGGCGAGCAAAAATTAAATGAACAAATCATCGAATCTAGCTTTGTTGCGGGGCTAATGAGCGCTCTCGCTAGTTAAATGAGACGCTAAATTCTGAGCTAATACAGGCAAACATTCAGCATTTTCTGCTGTGGAGATGTGTAGGGTTTAACCTAATGTCCTTTGTTAGGAAATGCATGTCTTATTTTTCACCCAAACTGGTTTAATTAACCCCACATGCATAACTGGAGGAAATTAATAGTAACAGCTGTATGCTGTCAGGAACGCCATCCTACTGTCTGCTGCTGCCCACTGAGACCCGTGTAGATCAATCCCACCTGCTCACCCACCACCCTCATTCACCCGGTTCACTCCATTTCATTTATAACATCTTCTCTGGAGAAGAGATGACGGGATTTTGATTTGTGGAGTGAATGCATTTTCTTTTTGTCTCCTAAGAAATTTAGCAATACTTCAATTGCTCACCAATGGACCCTCTGCAGTGAATGGGTGCCATCAGAATGACAGTCCAAATAGTTGATAAAAACATCACATTAATCCACAAGTAATCCATTATGTGTGTTAATCACAAACACACAGCTTTTCACTTAAGACTTTAATTGATGAACTGGAGTGGTGTGGATTACTTGTAGATTATTGTGGTTTTTTTTTTTAATCAGCTGTTTGGACTCCTCTTCTGATGGCACCCATTCACTGCAGAGGATCCATTGGAGAGCAAATGATATAATGTTAATTTCCTCCAAGTCTGTTTTGATAAAGAAACAAACTCATTTACATTCTGCATTTTTGGATTAACTATTCATTCAAAGTGAACAGCTTATTTTACTAGAATTTATCAAAATAATGTTTACACCATAAAAGATTTAATTAAATCAATAATTTAGAATTTTTAACTTGCAACCATGCATTTATTTAAGTGGTGGTAATAGATTGGCTGAATTTCTTTTTAGAGTGTTCCTTTCTTTAATTCATTCATACCATTCCCCCAGTCCTTCATCTCATTTCATTTTCTTTCTTTTCCCTCCCTTTTTCCTGCACATCCTTTTCCTTCTACAGCATGTCTCCTGCTAAGACGAGAACTTAAAATAACAACAGCTCCTCTCCCTGGAAAATTTCTCCGAACTTTGTGGACGAATTTGTCAAATTCAATTAAACTGATGCCCGACTTTTCTCCAATCGTCTTTCTCTCAGATGTAGTGCTGGTCCTCCCCTGAGTCTCACGGCTACCAAACTGCAGGTTTTTTTAATAACTCCATTTTAATAAGTCCTTCCAGTGCTCAGCTCAGCAGAACTCACTCCATCCGTGCTCAGACCTTATACAATTAACCTGGACGAACTTCACCTCTCCTTCCCGCAGTCGGTCCTGCACATCTCACAGGCTGACGTAACCTCACCCGTCCCATCAGCCAATGAGTCACGGCCAGTTTTTCATCAACTTTATTATTAGTTTTCACCAATTACATTATAAGGCTCCATCGCATAGCCAGGAAGATGCTCAGTCAAATTTATGCAACTATCTCCCTGCCAAAAGCACTGGAACGAGCCAAATCGACGGCGACCGACTGGAAGTAAAAGTGTGAAGCAATCAACAGTTGCTGACAAAGACGTTCTGCTCTATCTTAAAGGAAAATGAATTGATGAATTATGCATCAAGATGTCTCTATAAACCAATGATTAAAAAGAATGACATGCCAAGAAGATAAATGGCATGATTCCTTACAGACCTGCAATGCCACATGGTAACGGTTTCAGACTGAACCTTTCTATTACATTAATTTGCAAAAACAGCTAAATGTTGCATTACAAAGAAAAAAAATCATGGAACCATTTCATCTCAAAAGAGGAGTTGCACAGGAACAGTCCTTCATGCATTTGCTCATTATTTGATTCATCCTTCTTCCCAGCTCAATCATTATTGCTAGTATTAAAAGTGAAGCAATTTCTAAGCTACAACCATTACTAAATGTAAATGCAAAAACAGGTCCCCCACTGGTGAGGATGCTCAAAGAAACGTAGGGCCAAACATTTCAGGGAATTTAACCAACGAAAGTTGGTTTGTTTTTGTTTGTTTTAATCAAATGATACCAACGAATGACTATCTTTTCATAGTAAGTTAAAGAGATACTCCACCCAAAAATGAAATTGTCTCGTTATTTACACTCATACTTCCCCAGATGCAGTGGCGGATTAAGACTCTTTGGTGCCCCTGGGCAACGACACCTAGAGTGACATTTTTTTGCAAAATTTTATATTAATAAACTGATCTGATAAAAAGCTTACAAAAATCCTTACAAAATCAGGTTACCACTTTTTACAGTGTACTCTGAAATTATTATATAATTATTATATTATATGATATATTATGATATAAATTATTTATAACTTGTGAACCCACCTCTTACAGGTGTAATCTGTTCTAAGATGTGATATAAATCTGAACTGTATGCAGCAAATTGAAACATTTTATAACTAGTGAAGCCAACTGTTACAGGCATAATAATCCAATCTGTTAATCACTTCAGACTCTATGGAAAAAAAATGAAAGAGTGGATAATCTTTTTAGAGTCATTGTTGTCCTCAGCTCATTTTTTCATTCATTTATATTTAATTTACAAAAATATTTTCTAATGTTTTACTCCCTTGTGTACAAAGGGTGTTTTCAGAAATGCAACAATGAGTGCATAGTCTTGTTTGCAATTACATATACAGTGCTTAACAAATTTATTAGGCCACCACCCAATAGGTTTGTGCCACAGCTGCCCTAAACTAAGTAGGTGATTACCAAAATTACCATTGTTATTTTTCTGTAATGGTTAATCGACCAGTATGTGTAAGATCTTTAGTAAAAGTAGTGTTTCTAATGCTAAAATATAATTATTGTTGGGATTGAATGATTCTAAGATAGATTGCACAAAAGTTTAATTTAAAAGCAAGTCTTTGTACGTTCTGATGAAAGGGTAGCCTATGTATAGGCCACAGCTAGATAGACGTTTGAGAATACATCGCTTGTTTTGCCGCAGAACATTTATTTGAGTGGTGCACTTGCCCAATTGCCCATATGGTTAACCCGCCTATGCCCAGATACATACGATTTTCTTTCTTCAGATGAACAAAGATTTTTAGAAAAAACGACTGTAATTGATACAATCATCAGTTCTGGACATGTGTAAAGCGTGTTGTGAAACCTGACATAAAACGAGAACTCATTAACCCGGTGTGTGACAGTTGGCCAAAAGCAATGGTTTTGGTAGTTTAAAAATGGTTTAAAAAGTGTAAAATGTTAGTTTCCCCACTGTGTTCACTTTGTATGAACAACAATCTTTGTGGTAATAATCTTCATTTGTGTTTATCTAAAGTAATATAGGCTACATTAGTGCCGTCAAAAGATTAATCGTGATTAATCGCATCCAAAATAGGAGGTTTTGTTTACATAGTATATGTGTGTGTGCTATATTTATTATGTATATATAAATACAAACACATACAGTATATATTTTTTTAAATATTTGCATGTATATATTTATAGTCATATAATTTATATTATATATAAATATATTTCATATATAAACATTTTTCTGAAATATATACATGCATGTGTGTGTATTTATATATACATTATAAATATGCAAAGTACACACACACATATATATTGTAAATGAAAACTTATTTTGGATGCAATTAATCGCGATTAATCATTTGACAGCACTAATATACATCTGGGACAGCAGGAGGGTGAGTATATGATGAGAGAATTTCATTTTTGGGTGGAGTTTCCCTTTAAGGTAGGAGAATGTTTTTTTTTATCTAAAAAAACTACTTTCAAATGAAACGAAGCAACAACATCCAATTCATTCAAAAACTAAACTCTTTAATCACTTTGTTTTGTTAAGAGCTCCACAGTCACAGACCTGAACTCTAACAATTACCAAGCTAAAATACCACAATGATTGACCATGTCCAAACAGCGTTTGAAGATGTCCGCGAACACACAAACACGCTAAATTGGCATGTTTTTGTAGTTAAATGACCTGCTGAACAGACACACAGCGATTGCAGCATGATGAATGATGAAGACACGGGTGAATGGCCAGGAGAGGCTTGTGAACGCGAAGAGAAACAACTGAGGTATCTCTCGCTATTAGCTTGTCGCTCCTTTTAATTCATTCTTGAAGAAAAGCTTTCCCTGTGCCTCGTACCAAAAACAGAACGTGAAAACATTTGGAAGGCACATTCTCAAACTCTACCCTTGTCTAAAGCATTTCGACATACTGTACGCAATTCAACGTTGTATGTTGTTTTTACATACCAGCGGCTTATCACGAACGATGCCACAAACAAGGGGCTCCCTATGGTGGTCTCTGCCTGTTTATATTCATTGCCTGCTGATTAAGTGTTCTCTTCACTGCCGCCATCAATGCATTGAACGCCACTTCATGCCCTTCACGTAGAGGTAATTAGTTAAGGCTGTCTCCTATCATACCTACTGACAGCAGCTGTGAATCTGCAGACGGCAGTAAAGCTCAAGGTTCTGTTCGAGGCTTGTTCTATTGATCTGCACCCCGTCTCCTTTTACCAATTTAATGACCCCCTTGATTTTCAGCAGAAAGGGTAATACAATATTGAAATGTCAGATGATTAATGCCGTTGTTCTTTTGCCTGGTGAGGGTCTTGTTGGGGAAGGTGACAAATTTCTTGCCCTTTTCGCTTTTTGGTCTGGTGGCGCACCAGGGCGGTCTGATCCATCGGCGGGAGGGAAATACAGGGCGAAGGAACAAAAGAGCAAAGGAGGAGGAGGAGGAGAAGAGGAGGATGACACCACACAGGGGACGGGTTGGCTTGTTCTGGTTCTGGTGTCAGGGAATAGATTGGATAAATCCATCTTCATTAAGTTGATGGGAAGAAGTAGAGAGATGCCACCTGGTGTGTGTGTGTTTGCATGCATGCATTTGTGCAACAAGCTCTAAGAAATGTGCTGCATGTGTAAACTAATCATTTAAAATATACATTCAATAGATGTCTTCAAAGTGTATACGTAATAAAAGAATGCACATGTTAATAGTTCTACAATGAAACATTTCATATTCAGTGCATAGAGAAACAAGTCCAGATGGGTGGAGTATGTATTTATATAGCATTTCACAGATGCATGGATCTTAGCTTGTATTTGCAGCAGGGATGCTAATCCAAGATCAAGATCAGGACTTCATCAGTAGCTCCACTGAAACAATTACAGTCTTACACTCTCAAAAAAGACAACAGCAGGTTGTCAGGAGATTATCTTCTGATGATCTCAACATGTTCTCATGTTAAACATTTCAAACAGCGTTCAATGGCAATGAATAAAATTCATATTTCTTACCAGCTATGAAAATATATAAAACATTTGAACTATATACACACACACACAGTATCTCACAGAAGTGAGTAAACCCCTCACATTTTTGTAAATATTTTATTATAACTTTTCATGTGACAACACTGAAGAAATGACACTTTGCTACAATGTAAAGTAGTGAGTGTACAGCTTGTATAACAGTGTAAATTTGCTGTCCCCTCAAAATAACTCAACACACAGCCATTAATGTCTAAACCGCTGGCTATCCAGAGGTTGTGTTTGGGAAATTGCTTCCAGCATTGCTGCAGAGGTTGAAGGGGTGGGGGTTCAGCCTGTCAGTGCTCAGACCATACGCCGCACACTGCATCAAATTGGTCTGCATGGCTGTCATCTCAGAAGGAAGCCTCTTCTAAAGATGATGCACAAGAAAGCCCTCAAACAGTTTGCTGAAGACAAGCAGACTAAGGACATGGATTACTGGAACCATAGCCTGCAGTCTGATGAGACCAAGATAAACTTATTTAGTTCAGATGGTGTCAAGAGTGTGTGGCAGCAACCAGGTGAGGAGTACAAAGACAAGTGTGTCTTGCCTACAGTCAAGCATGGTGGTGGGAGTGTCATGGTCTGGGGCTGCATGAGTGCTGCCGGCACTGGAGAGCCACAGTTCATTGACATTTTCACTTGGGGGTGTACTCACTTTTGTGGCCAGTGGTTTAGACATTAATGGCTGTGTGTTGAGTTATTTTGAGGGGACAGCAAATTTACACTGTTATATAAGCTGTACACTCACTACTTTACATTGTAGCAAAGTGTCATTTCTTCAGTGTTGTCACATGAAAAGATATAATAAAATATTTACAAAAATGTGAGGGGTGTACTCACTTTTGTGAGATACTGTATAAACCTAATTATTTACAAAACATTTTTTATTGAAATGCATCAAAAACATTTTTATGTTTTTTTCATTCTCATTTTTCTCACAAAACATTGTCATTTTTTTTCATATTTGTTTTGGTTCTTTTATGTAAGATATATTATACCATTGCAACACAGTTGCAGATAAAAAATAAACACTTTAGGTATTACAGATACACTCTATATGCTAAATATCACTAAATAATATTTCATAACGCATTGCTTACTGTACATCAGACTTTCCTTCTATAACACCATGACTTAAATCATGACATTCACTCCCTTCTGGGATGCTAAAATGCTAATTACAGCTAAAACTGCAATCTAAACACTCTGTGCATGAACTCATAAATCTATAGGCTGTCTGCATACCTTACTTCTTAGACAATTCCTCTGGCATCCATCCTCCAACTCCACCTTTACTTCTGTAATTAATTAGGTCTGGGTAGTGCCTTCCAAGACAATCCAGTTTACCTTTATTAACATGAAAGATTATATGACCATGTTAAATTGTAAAATTGTATATGGTGTCACCAAAAAAAATATATGAACATTTTTGAAAATCTGTGATCATTCAAAAACATGATTCACCAACAAGCAAATGCTACAATGCAAACAGCATCTAAAAACTGTATCTAAACAAAGGTTTTAACAGGAACCCCTTCGCTGACATCACCTGAATATTAATGAATATAAATTGAAAACATATTCACATACTATAAACATCAACCAATTTCGAGTCATATTTCATGTTCCATCCCTGACCTAGCTAAACCAACCATAGATGACAGAAACCGCTAATACTGATACATCACACTGTTGAGAGTTTAGCATTATCAGCAAACATCATATTCACAGAGGGTCACATTTTTTGACATCAATATTTAGTTTCCTGCAAAGAAAAACAATTGCATAATGTGTAAATATTGTCGTAGGGACCTATACATTGACCATATTTTCACAGTTGTGTTATCAGCATACATGCCTCTCATTTGTGTTTTTTAATTAGGAACCGCAGCGTTCAGACGCAATACAGATAATCTCCTTTCGGTCTGAGATGGGGGGAAGCCGAGCATGAAAGTAATTGGTGAGTGGAACACAAATGGGATGGTAACGTGATGTGGTTTCTATCCCTCCGAGGCAGAATTTGCACATCCATTAGAACAATGCTGTTCTCTGCACATTTCCAAACGTTTTATTACTCACACACACGTACACATTTATGATCAAATGCTTAGCAAGCTTAGTGATAAAATCCCACGTGAAGGGGTTATAAACCCACGATAAAATTAAACACAATGGCTTTGTGTAAGGGGAGGTATTTATGATTGTTTTACAATGCAGTATGACAAATGTATGTTCTGTCACCAGTCTGAATGAAATAAAGATTAAGTGGCTTCAGGGGATTAAAAAGCTTCATGATAATGTGTGTTGGGAAATACTGATAAAATCTGAAATATAAAATATGTCGCCTTCATTTACTTGCTTTTTCAAAGCGCTTTATGAGCAACACCAAAATGGGATTGAAATATGTTCGGGAAAAATGCAAACTGATAAAAAGACAATTTACTTGCATTCAAGTCAAATAAATGATTACATAATAACTGCTTACCCACAAAGACTTGTTGTAAACATTGCACTATATATATATGGCTGCATACCTTGCTCATTTGCCAAATATCACATCCATCCTGCAACTCCATGTTTATTTCCATATTGAATTAGGTCTGGGAAATGTAGAGTCATGTCCATTCTCGTTCCTGTATCCCTGTATGGTGAAAAGCGAGACAAAACATTATCTTTCATGACAAAAATGTTTTATAAGAACAATTATTATATTAAATATGAAATGTGAATTGCATGTACAGTGGAACTAAAAAGTACCTAGTTGAACACTTAAAAATGTATGAGATTCAAGGACATCTGAGATGAAAGTGCAGTAGATCGAAATGCATATTCTGCTATATAGAATGTTAAGTGAACATGTTGGTTTCATACATTTCTTACAACAAAAAAAGTATTGTAGCTTATCTTGTTGCACAAAAACAACAAAAGATTTGGAGCAATACTTAAATTGTTCAGTCAACCAGCTGCAAAACCTTTTGATTCAACTGACCTGTCACTTTTTGGCCCTCAGGGGACAAAAAGCGCCTCAGAAGATGTTTGTGTTTAGCCTAATTGAAATACTAAATGAAAAGCGCTGCCTACAGTTATGACTCATTGTTTAAAATTGTGCACATCTACAGACGGAATAATCGCGTTGAGACTAGAAGTGCCTCAACAAAATATCGCGCTTTTATGGATTTATCATATGAACGCAATTTCAAGCTGATTGCATTTCATATCCTCATTTAACCCTCTCAGAAGAGTGTTTTGTATACAGACGCGTTGTGCCCCTGAGAAACGACGTTCTCAGTTACCTGCTCAATATATGATGGGTTCCACATTACACACATGGATGTGTCAACATTGAACAGATTGTGAGATTAAACAGTGAAGGAAATTGAGAGGTGAGTGTGGAAGGATACAGCACGAAACGGATATTTCTTCTCTATCCCCCTTTTCTTAATGTGTCGCCGTGTCTTTGTGTTAATTTGCTGCTTCAGTGAGACGCTACATCGAAAGCGCCATGTCTAATAACTTCAGCCGCCTTCACGCAAAAAAACACATCAGAGTCTCACGCTCAGGTGCCACTCAAATTATTAAAAATAACCTCCACTACCATGCGTCTCTAAATCAGAGAATTTACCAGACACGCAAGACAGGGTTGTGAAGCTTTCGCTGCCCGTCTTGAGGGTAAAATTGATGAGAGATGTCTTGTTGCTCTCCCGCCTTTCAACTTCCAGGTTGTTTTGCTCACGTTGACATTTTCCTGTTGCGAATTTATATCTCGCAATTCTGACTTTTTCCATCACAGTTGCGAGTTCATATCTTGCAATTCTGACTTTTTTTCCTCAGAATTGTGAGATGTAAACTCACAATTACTCACAATCCCTTACATAATAATAACAATTAAAACTAAGTTGTGAACTTTAAGACCCCAGGCTTTTCTTTTGACTCCTGTTCTGAGGCAAATGTTCAGATAAAAAGAGTGAAGGTAAATGCTGAGATAAAAAAAAAAAAAGTGACATTTTCCTCACATGTGCAGATTGCTGAAAGTGAAATGAACGGGATCTGTCAGATCACCAAAGTTTGCGAAATGTTTCTTCTACTCTTTCATCAGCACTCCACCATAGAAATCATTCAAGGATGACATTTTTAATGTCAATAAACATCTGTCGATTATTATTGTGAACAAATACAGAAGGTATTTGGATCACAGGGGTAACTCAATATGACATTTGCTTCACCAAACATGTTTGTTTGCAAATGTGCATGTCATTAAAGCTTAGCAAACAGTCACAATTAATGTATGTTTATGTGTTATATTGTGTGCATCAACGTGTATGAACGTTTACTATTTGGCTGGAAACTCTAATGCTCTATATACTACAGTTAATATGTTTAATTAAATATACCAATATATTTAATTTGAAATGTATTAAAGAATTAATCTCTCGTCATTTACTCACCCTTATGTCATTCCAATTCTTGACTTGGATCTTTTTCTAAACAAAATGTACAAACGGTTTCTTTTTATAAAAGCTGCAAGAATAACTACAAAAAAAGCACCATAAAGTTATCATTTGTGCACTAAATTCCAAGCAAGAAAATAATTTACTATCATGGAGATTAATTGAACAAATGGTTTATTCCAGGTACTATAAAGTTTGGCTTGTTCTAGGACCATCAAAAAAATGTTTATCTAGGAATAATTTTTTTTCAGTGATTAGAGAGAGGTCAGGTTTTTTCTTTTTTAACTCACTGCAACTATAACATTGTCCATCAAATACTGGATCTCTACTCTAAAAAATCATGCCACCTTTTCTCTCCTATTATTTTTATCATTACGTTACATATCGCAAAATCCTCCTTTCATAATTCAATGCTTAATTTCAAATTGTAAGCAATTTGATATAGCTTATAGCTTGATGTTTCATAATTATCAATCACCAGGAGTATGCCCATAAATCATTTTTAATAGCATAACGCAGAAAGACCATCACTCCCCTCATTGTTCTTTGGCTGCTTCTTTGTTTCTGCTTCATTGTTACCCTTTAATTAATTAATTAATTAATGAACCAATGACTCGTGGGTGTGGGCGGCACCTCCCACTGTGTGACTGAGCACACATGGTTAATCAGGGCCATTCCCATTAACCGGGTCAAGCTGGGTTACAGCTTGATTAAGAGATGTTCATCAGCAAATCCCACCTGAAGACAAGCCACAGCTCGGACCAAACCAATCTCTGAAACCTTCAACAGGTGGATGTGATGGTGGATTCGGAGTGTGAGGTTTGCAGAAATGATTTTCTTTTTGAGACTTGGTTGAATAGATGTTCTCTTTCAAAGAGTTCCTTCAACTTTCATTCAATCTGAAGATAATGCCACATCCACCCTGAGATTGACCTTCTGGTTCTTTTAGTCTGACAAAGAATAAGCCGCAGCAAGGGTTCATGGGTAATTACAGCACTCCTTCAGCTAACCGTAGGAAGGATAACTTATAAAGATGGCAATGAGAACTTGGTGCCGCTGACTCTATGAAAAGATGGGAAAGCTGCAAGATAAGAGGAAAAACAAGACCTTGAAGTCAAAGGTGAAATGAAAAGAGAAGACCTCATTTGAATTTATCTGCTTTCCAACAAAAGGAAGAACTGACAAACGTGGGAAGCATAAATGTGTTTTTAATTAATTTACACAGATTGGATCTTACTGCAATATAGACGACATGGCGCATTGAAACGTGTTGCATGCATAAGCAGTAAAGTGCTCAGCAATGTTTTTCAAAAAAGCATTTATTAAACAAAATAAAAATTGTATTAACTCTACTCACAATAGGGGTTGAAATAAGACGTCTGTCAGGCTTGATGCAAGTTCCACAATGCTAATACATTTTACAATTATTTACAAAGAAACAAAATAATTGTATTTAACTCCCAATTAACCCCCCCCTTTTTACAACTTTAAAACATCACTTTAAAAATTTGAAACATTTTTGTAGTGTACACAAACACATTCTATTCGGTAAATCTGACTGAATGCATTTGACTTAGCATTTACATTTATAATGATGTAAGCATTCGGTGAACAATTTTATCTGAAGTGACGCATTGAAGATATACAGTTTTGTCTCTCATGGATTCCCTGGGAATCGAACCCATGACCGTGGCGTAGCATCATGGCCAATTGTTTGAGCTACAGGAATATTTAAGCAGTTTAAAGCCACGATATGGGTTCTTTTGTGAGTAGATTACCACCATTTGGATGTAAATATGACCCTCTTCCTTATGAAAATAACAGTTTATGATGAAATTTTTTGTAATAATTGTCAATATTTAAAAAAAAAAAAATCTTAATGTATGCAGTATATATGTAGTATATAAGCTGCGGTCACGCTCCACTTTAAGTTACTTCAGACTCAACAGCACTGAAAACTCTCAGCCAAGAGATCAGTCCAATCCGTTACATTTACATCCTCTATTGGTCAAACGTCTTTGTTCAATGTGAATTCTCAGGTCTGAATTCATGCGTCGAAAAACAAACAACATTCGAATTAATGACCATACATGAATGGAAATGAATGTAGTACAAAATCTAGTGTGAAATAAACAATGACATTTGCAGTTACACAGGAGAAACGGGCCTAAACGCTGTGCATTTTGATTTCTTTGCACTTTATAAAACCGTAAATATAAACAAAGTAAAACTGTTTATGCATTACATGCACATTTTACAATTACATGCACATTACATGCATTTCATGCACATGCGCATATGCATTACATGCGATGGCGCCGCAGACGTCAGCCTCAGTGTTTGGCTCTCCAGTGTTTGTACTGTTTTTGTTCATTTTTCCTGATTTTTGTTTCTCAAACACGATCAGTTTTATCAGGGATGAGCTGCTGAATATTCGGCAGAACACACCACACAATCTTCTACCGGATTTCGTTTATTCGGACGTTTTGCTGAACGTTGTAGTCGGCGGAGCTGCTGCGCTGATCAAGCACTTCAGGACGCGCAGACGGGGGAAGCGAGCCGGCACGCTCGTGAAGCTCAGGAAGCGCGGATTCAGAACGCCGTTGCAGAGCATCCATCTGGCGAATCTCCGCTCTCTACCCAACAAAACGGACAAACTTCTTCTGCTCTCCCGGACAAATAAGGATTTTTCACACTCTGCTGCTCTGTGTTTCACGGAAACCTGGCTGAATGACGCCATTCCGGACAGCGCGTTGAGTCTCCCGGGCTTTCAGCTGTTTAGAGC